ATAGTTAAATTTTTGGGGCCGGAGCTGATCGTATCTCGAAAAATTCGTAAGTAGGGGCGTTCGTAAGTAGAGGTACCACTGTATATATATTTGACCGTTTTGTGTTGAACAGTTGGGAAATAACTTTTTGCTGAACAAAAGCTTCATTTCTTTCTTACAGCATCATTTAAAACTGAATATGCAGGATTGCTTTCTGTAGCTGCATCTGAACCAAAGGATGTCCCATGGGGTAAGCAAGTACCTCAAAGATTAATGGCTCCACTCTTGGATTTCCTAGGAAACAGCCTGAATATGAAAGGAAAGGGGAAGGACTACTGGAGCCCAGCACTCTCACCTTGAATTTGACTTAGGCACTTCCAGACAGTGCTATTATTGTAACATCACCCTGCCTAATTCATAAAATGATATGGGAATTGGGAAAAGTCCAGGTGCTAACATCTTCCTCTTCTAACTCTACTGTATCTTCCCATCATTATTACTGTCTTCTCTGCACCCAAAGCATCTATTAAGAAAAAAAAAGAGTAATTAATTCTACAATATCTTTTGACAAGATAACACCAAGATTTGTCTGTCTGGAAGTATTCCAATTTGAGCTGTCTGCTCGCTCATGCCTGATGTTTATGGATTCCATCGTTGCTCATCATGAATATAAAGCTTGTGCTGGCTGTAACAGTTACATCTGAAATGCTTCATTTCTGCATTTGGCAAATACTGCTAGAGAAATTCTAAGTTTTGTATGAACAAAAGTATCTAAGCGTGGATTCTTCAGGTCTGATGTGTGTTGTTAAATGCAAAATGTATTTGGAATTGTAGAAGAAATATTAGTTCTAGGAAGGTATATACCAGGGGGAGTATGTATGTCTGTATGTATGGTCACATCTATGAGATGACAAATGATGATGATAAAAATCTGAAACCTCACTTGGCAGGCAATACATTATTGAACTCTCCCTCTAGCATTTGGTTCCTCTTCCCCTCCTCCTGCTGCAAATATTTGTGGTTCTCCCCACTTTGGTCCCTTGAGGCTGTCAACACATATCATTGGGGGAGAAGAAGCCTGTCCCCGTCATGTGAGTTTATAATCACTTTCTGGGTGATTATAAGTGTGGAGGTGCCATTGTCAACCCAACTTGGGTGCTCACAGCAGCTCACTGTGTAAAGATGTAAGTAGGGATGTAAGTTGTTAAGCCTGGCAAAGTTGTCTTTAGTAGGCTTGGGGGTTATTTTGAATAAAGTAGATAAGGTTGAATTTGGACCTGGGAAGAACACTATCATGTTTCAGTTCGTGCAAGGTCCTGAAACATTCTGGATCATCTCTGCAGTTTAATTTATTCTGCAGAGTGGGTATGAATATAATGAAGAAGTCTTAGCATTTACACAAAAATTCCCAGGATTTGTTGCAGGAACTCTTGAAAGTTAAATCAATTTGTTAACATTTTGCATTTACATAAAAAATATATGACTTAACAGCAGCGGAGCACTTCTTTTCTAGAACAAATAATCCATCATATTGGACTGTTGTTGCTGGGAACCATGACAGGATACTGAAAGAAGCCTCTGAGCAGGTAGAGGCAAACTTAGCTGCGTGTTTCTTTTCCTTCACTGGTGGAGCATCTGCTTTATGTACAGATGGTCCTTGGTTCAATTCCTATTCAGCATCTTCAGGTATGGCTGGGAAAATTCTTGCAGAGTGAAGAGATTACTTAAACAAGCAAGGGGTGAAAAAAGAAAAAAAAACCCAAGCAATTTCTCTAGGCAATTACTCCTATGTTTGACCCTACCCTACCCCACTCTACCCCCCCTACCCTACCCCCTACCCCCCACTCACAGAAGAGAGATTGGAGAGGAAGGGATTACAAGATTACAAGAGAGTAAGCAGGCACACAATGGAGAATACAGCGGGCTGTTTGCATCGCTCACTCATGGTTCCCAGCCCTGAGTGCTCGGGGCTGCCAGCACCACCGCATTCTTTTGATGTTGTGTGCCTACTTACTCTCTTGTAATCCCTTCCTCTCCAATGTACAGTATGTAAATGCAAACATTAATTCCCTCCTTGCTAATTATCCCAGCTCTGGAGTGAGTGTTCCAAAGGGTGGGGGAGTTGTTAGGAGGCAAACAAAAGCCAGTTTTGAAATTGATTAGACTTGTCGTTTCGAGCCGGCTACCCCAGCACCATCCAGGTGAGCATTCCGAAGGACGGGGGAGTGGGGAAAAGGAAAGCACAGTCAAGGTCATGTAATTTCCCTCTTAGTGACCACTTCGCTCACTGACAGAACTGCTGGTCCCAATTGTGGTCACTCAACGAGGACTACCTATCTGTTTGTTTACACTGAAAGTTAAATTTGATCTTCTATACTAACCTGAAGAGAAGCAGTCTAATCTATTATGTTCTCTTCATTGTGTGAAATTGTATGAGAAGACCACAGCAGGGATTTGTCAAAGACATGTTCTTTCAGAAATAATATTTTCAGCAGCTGCGTGTTGTCTATAGGTGTAGAAGGACAAGTCTAGGACAGTAGGAAGAGTTGCTACCAAGGCAACGGTCAGATAAGCAAGGCGTGAGTCCAGACCAAGAAACTAGCTTGAGAAAACATCTCAGACAAGCCCCTCCCTGGTTCACACAAATATAAAGTGAGGGAAGCACATTCAGAGTTGCAAAATTCTGTTACTATAGCTTTTAAAATAAAGGTAGTCCTTAGTTTCTTAATCTGGTCTATCTTGTAGGCCTGACAATAGGAGGAACTCATCTGCCAAGAGAGTGGAGGAGTGGAGTCATCTGCCAAGTTATCTGCCAAGAGAGAGAAAGAGAAATCCTCATCTCTTTCTTCTTTCTCTCTGGCATCTTGATGAGGATGGCATAAACTGTTCTTGCCAAAAGTCCAAACTGATTGTTTGCAGAGGTGATCATTTATCATTGTACCGAAGGCTTCATGATGTTGGGTTAAGGGCTGCAGGTTAGTCATTCCAGCTCTGTAAATCCCCAGAGAAACAAGTTTGCACATGATATGCTAATTCATGGGGTTTGATAGCAAAGCACAATCTGAAGCGATGCTTTGTTTCAGAAATGGTGGTTTGATTTAACCAAGGTTTATATCTGAACCCAGAATCCTGGGTAAATAAACCATGAATTTTACATCTAAACTAGAGCTGGAAAATAAATAAGCGAGGTTAAAACTAGCTTGTGCAACAAATCTTGGTTTAAAAACTTTCTGGCTTGGCATTTTGTTGCAACAAACCCAGAGGTAAATGAAAAACACACACCTCTAAGAGTTATGTCCAAAAAGGCAGACTGGAGGAGTTAGCAAAATAGAAGGGCAAATTGTGTGGTATATTTGCTCAGATGGGGATGCTGGCAGGAAGAAGGAATTACATTGCAGCAAGGATGAAAGGTGGCCAGTATACATCAACTGTGGGCTAAAGTAAGGAGGCTTATCAGCAAAAGGCAGCACTAGCGGTCCTGGCAGTTCTTGTTATCTTAATTCAGTGTTTGCTACAGCCTAAAAAAGATAGAAACAATTCTTGGCGCAGTAGCTCCTACTGATTAGGGAGAGTTCCATAAAGGAAGTTGCTGATTATTTTGCAAAGAGATATTAGCTAAGAATGTAATTTGTCACTAGATTGGTATTTCCCCTCCTCACCACTACACCCCCCCCCTTTTTCCTAAATGGCTACTACTGAGTGGAAAAGGCTGGCTACTCCTTCTATTGATTCCAGTCTCTTGATGCAGAGGAGAACAGTCAACTGCATTACAGCGCACCAAGCCTTTGCTGCTGCAAGTTTTGATTCCGATATTGCCCTTGTTCAGCTCAAACGGCTCTTCTCCATAGTGCAGCGGTGAGGCCAGTGTGCTTGCCAAGTTACATGGAGCTGTTACCATCCTTTGTGCTTTGTACTGTGACTGGCTGGGCAGGTTTCCAAGAAGGTTAGGTCCATTTCCTCCTTGAGCGACACTGACACTGTCAAAGGTCTTTCTCCGCCTTAGTTAAATCTTAGCAAAGATAGGGGCCAGACCGGCAGGTTGGATGAAACTTGTTTGTCATGTGCGGGGCTTAATACCTTCCTCTGAGTAGAGTATGACTGTTCTTTTCATAAATGGTCATTACCCTATTGTTTTTGTATTCCTGTGGGCCACCCTGAATGTTAGCCCAGTACATCCAGAGGACATATATACCCAGGACATCTAGTTTAACCAACAACTTCTCTATACCTTTCTGTCTTACAAACCATCTTTGCTTCCAGTTCCAACCAATTCATATAGCCCCCTGTGCTCTTTACAGTTCTTACCATTCTCTTTTTGTGGACTTCTTCAGCTCCATCCAAATGCAACTTTCTTGGTCTTTCTCTTCCTCTACAGCCATTCGCTCTTTGTTCATATATTTGTTTTACCATTCAGTCTTGATTCATTCTCACTCCATGTCAAAATCACCTCAATGTACTTCTTTGTACCATTTTTGCACTCAACCCATATACACTCATCATCCCTTCATTCTTGATCCATTCCTCCTTGTTTTACCCCATACATTTTTTAAGTAGCCATTCCTACTACATCCAACTTAACCTAATCTTATGTTTCTCCAGACATACTCCACTCTCATTTTCATCTAATGAAATGGGCAAAAGCATGCTTTGATACCCAGGTATGCTTTTGACAAACTTCATTCACTGCAACAAACAATGTACAGGTAGTCCTCGCTTACCAGCGGTAATTGAGACTGGGAACTCCATTGCTAAGCGACATGGTTGTAAGGCATGACATCATGTGACCACACCAACTTATAACAGCAGTTCCAGTTGCCATCATTAGGCGAATCCTACACGTTTGCAGTGTCCCAGTCATGTGATCGTCATTTGTGACTTTGTCATTTGTGACTGTTGGCTTTGCCATTGACTTTGAAGTGAAGGTCGCAAATGGCAATCATGTGTCTGTGGGATGTTGCAATATCATAATTGCAAGTCAATTGCCGAGTGCCCGAATTACGATCACATGACCGTGGGGATGCTGTGAAGGCTGCAACTACAAGGATTGGTTGTAAGTACCCCTTGTTCAGCACTGTCATAACTTTGAACAGTCACTGAATGACTAGATGTTAAATGAGGACTACCTGTACTATTCACTACCTTCCTACCTGTCTCACATCTTTGCACTGCAATGGAAAATCAACTCTTGCAGGGGTGTCTGCAGGGCAAAATCAAAAAAGTTAATATGGTGGAACAATGATCTCATCGAAGTGCCACCTGTTTTTATGTGCAATGGGCAGAGCTTCAATCACACCATTATGGTTGCCATCTTTTTTTGCTGCACTCTGTGGACAATCCTGAATTCTTATATTTGAGGCTTTGCTCATGGCTAATTTCTAATCTAGCCAAGACCTCTTCGGGAGTTTGCTGTGAAATCTAGCTAAAATTGAATTCAGAATTAAACATCTGGAGACCCATGATTTATTGCTGACCCCTGATGTGAAATGTGGTAACCTCCTTTTTTTGCTCTTCTCCATTTAGAGCAGTTGTTCTTCAACTAGGGGTAATTATTCAAGGGAGTAATTTGGGGAGTTTCTAGGGGTGATGGAGCAATTTGTAATTGCTTGTTTGTGAGTTTGAGATCACTGCTGTGAAGACACTAATGTAAAACAACAGTCTGTTTTTTTTAATGGGGATAAATGTTATTATTCGCGACCAGGAAAAGGAATAATAGGGTCAAACAGTTTTAAGAACCACTGATTTAGAGGGACACACCATGACATTTAATAAAAAGAGAGATTCTGCATTTTGAGATCAGTGTATAAGCAGCTTGAAGCACACTGCACACATGCTAGGTAAATATATATTAGGGGCATGAATATTTGATTTGAAGTTCAATTTGAAAATGCATCAGTTGAATCTCTGTACCAAATTAGATCTTTTAATTAAATCAGCAAGTTTATTTATATCTACCTGAATGCCTCCAAATCAATTTGCATAACTTTTGTACCTGTGCAGAAATGTTTATTTTGTATCACTTTGGAATTCAGAATCAATTGAACCAACTCAGTTTTCAGTTTTTGCCTGAGTCTCAGACCCTTAGTATTTTCTTTGATATATGTTGTTTTCTTTTAATTTTTTTTAATTGTAAGCTGCCCAGAGTCACTGTGAAATCAGGTGGGCTCGAAATTGAAATAATAAGTGTATGCATAGATAGAGAGAAAGAGAGAAATATGAATTTGGCAAAAGTCACTCCTAATTCTGGGAATTCTAGTGATCTGAAATGTGCTATATGGAGGGGAGGGGACTTTTCACTTGACTACTAAGATTTTCTAGATGGTTTGAAGTAAGTTCTCTTGGTATTCATCCCTTGAAAAGTAACATCTTCCTATCTGGTATGATTGCTCTTTGAACACTGAACAAACTGCTTTGTGGTAACCAGGAAATTGTCCTTGGGAGTGTTGCTAATGGCCAGGTACAGTAGATGGAAGAAGAATGCTTAGATATAAAGCTGTTAAGCCCCAGGGCCAAAAGTGAGGATGGGAGTCTCAGCACATCAAGATACCTTGATCCTGTGGCAATCTGAAGGTAGAAGGAACTGGTTGACAGGTTGTTCTGTGCCACTGTTTCTTAAACCTTTGCTCTCAGAACCCCTTCCCACCTTTAAAAGTTACAGAGGACTCCAAAAGAGCTTTTGTTCGTATTTATCGATATCTACCATATTAAAAATTAAAATTCACACATTCATAGAATATTTATTTACTGAATCATGTAAAAATAACAATATTAAACCTATCAGATATGAACATAAATAACATATTTTTCATGGAAAAAACTATATTTTTAAACAATTAAAAATAATAATGAGAAGGGTGACATTGTTTTAAATTTTTGCAAATATCTTCAATATCTGGCAAATAATTGTGATTTCATGGACCCCCGAGAGGGTCTTGGGGGACCCCCGGGGTCCTTGGACCACACTTGAAGAAATATTGTTCTATGCTATAGTGTCAACATTGCAGATGGCTGAACAGTGGCATTTGCAGCTTCAGATGCAAGGATTACATGACCTAAGGAGGCAATAAAGGTCCATCTAAATTGGAGTAGGCAATCTGATGCTTTCCCAGTGTTTTGGAATTCAAATTCTTTCAGACCCAGCTAGCACAGCCAGTGGCAAGGGATTGTGGGTCACTTTATTCAAACATCTGGATGCCATCAGGTTGCATATTCTTTATTTGGATCGAGGCATCAATAGAGTCTGCCCTGTGTCTTCTATTGCAGCCCCTTTTTCTGACCTATTTATGTGCCTCTAAGCCTAACCCAGATGGAGTCCAAACCTTAGTATTATGTTTCTATCAAGATTTTTCCCCAGCCCATCAAACAAAATTGCATTACTCTGAAATGTTGTTCTGCTATTTTACAGTTGGAGGCCTTGCTAGCCGTCTACAGCAGATGGATGTTCCCTTGGTGACAAATGATCTCTGTGAGCAAAAGTACTACTTTAATCACCCTGGAGGGATCACGCCTAGGATGCTCTGTGCTGGTTTTGCATCTTTGGGAGGTCACGATCCCTGCCAGGTAACTGTCACGTTAATCTAACCAAGATAGCAGACAGGAAAAAATATAGAGTGCAACAGAGAAGGGTAAACTAGAACAAGGAAAGTATGCTCGAGCTACCAAAAGGTGGGGTATCTGCAGCTTATTTTATTAAAGAATTTACAGTCATAGACCAAAGAAGCTTATAGGCTGAATTTGGGACTCTTCCACACCTTGCAGGAAGGGAAGAATAATAGATTGGGGGGTGGGTCATCATTATTGTTCCTGGGGCATCAGATGATTCCTTTGGGCAGGTACTTCACTGGCGCTGAAAGCCATAAGTCTGCCATACGGATCTCACAGCCATTCCCTCCACTGCCATTGCTGAAGATGCAGCTCAGCTTATGAAATTCCATGCCTGCCGTGGGAAATTTATGGATTTAGAGATGTACGTTAGAAAAGCTGCTCTGAATATAAAGCAATTCCGATGTGTGCTTTCTGTAAATTTTGCAAACTCTGTGTGTGTGTGTGTTTGTGTGTATGTTTTCCCAGGGGGATTCAGGCCTGCTGGTTTGCCAAAATGAAATCAAGCCATTTATGCTCCATGGAATTGCTAGCTGGGGCGTTAGCTGTGCCCAGTCCAAGAGACCAGGGGTTTATACAAGAGTGAGTGCCTTTTTTGACTGGATTATATCTGTAATAAAAGGTAAGCTGGTTCTTATCACTTGTGCATTGTTTCTCTTTGGTTCTAAATGCTAAGCCAGTGTTTCTCAACCTTAGCCACTTTCAGATGTGTGGACTTCAACTCCCAGAATCCACTAGCCAGCATGGCTGGCTGGGGAATTCTGGGAGTTGAGGTTCACATACCTTAAAGTGGCTAAGGTTGAGAAACACTGTGCTCTTGAGTGTCATTGTTCGAGCAGGTTTCCCAAACGGTGAGGTGTACTTCCCTTGGGGAGGTGCAGACAGAGTCCAGAGGAGA